TCAACGATGGTTCAGCAAATTTTGTTCAGGTGACTTTAGCCTTAAAAACTGTGATGGCAGGGGCCGACATGTTGGAACTGATATTGATGCTCTGAAAACACTTGTCGAGTCTAACCCAAGGCAACACACTCGTGAAATGGCCCTGAAATTACATGCCTCTCGTAAAACAATACGTAAACATCTAAGGAATATGAGATAACTCCATAAAAAAAAAGGTGTTTGGGTGCCTCATGAACTCTCCGATGATTATCGTTTCAAACATGTGAATGTTGCTTTGTCTCTTCTAGCACGTAATGCGCATGAACCATTTGGACATAATTGTCATCGGTGATGAAAAATGGATTCTCTATGTGAATGTTAAGTTCCAAAAACAATGGCTCAGTCCCAGACAAAAATCACTTCTGACCCCCAAAACCTGAACTCCATCTGCAGAAAGTGATGCTTTAAATTTGGTGGGACATCAAAGGAGTAATTCATTTCAATGCAGAGATCTACAGTCAGCAACTGGAATGTTTAAATCAAGCCTTTCATCAAAAATGCCCTTCACTTCTCAATCCACGGTGAACTGTCAATGCAGAGATCTACAGTCAACAACTGGAATGTTTAAATCAGAAATGCCCTTCACTCATCAATCGGAAAGGTTTTCTTCTTCTCCATGACAATGCACATCTACATTTGACATGTTTGACGCAATACAAGATTATGGAGTTGGGAAGTTCTCCCCCACCCACCATATTCTCCTGATATGGCACCATCAGATTACCATCTTTTTCGTTCGCTGCAACAACATCTTAATGGGAAAACTTGTGTAAATGTGGAAGGTGTTAAAGAGGACATCAACATGTTTGCTTCAAGGCCAAATGATTTCTTTAATCAGGGCATTAACAACCTGACTGTAAGATGGAAAAGCATCTTTGATAAGAATGGAGACTATTTCATTTAATAAATGTTTTGTTTTGATATACAAGTTATTCAAGTTTTTTTTCGTGCAATAAAAAGCAACATTAATTTCTTGATGACCTAATATTTTAACATATAATGTTTTGGGACAACATGGGACCTAATAGTCCATCTCGGCTATTCCATCCTCTAAACTAAATTAAAATAATTTTTAAAAAATCTTAGCCAGCCCTTATCATTCACATACTTATCAAGCTTTGTCTTAAACTCTTTTAAATTTATTGCCTCTACAACATCTGAAGGCAACCCATTCCAAAGGTCAACCACCCTGTTAAAAAAATAAAACTGTCTTAGCTGAAGATGACGCTTACCTTGCCAAAATGTATATTTGCATCCCCTAGTCCTACTATTCCCACTGTTAAATACAAAAACGTTGATGCCTCAACACTATCAAATCCCTTTACAATTCTAAACACCTCAATCAGGCCCCCCCCTAACTATTCTTTTTTCAAGAGAAAACAATATGAGAGATTTCAGCTTCTCCTCGTATGTCAACCCCTCCATCCCAGGCACCATTCTAGTAACTCTTCTATGAACCATTTCCAACAATTTAATGTATTTCATAAGGTAAGGATCCCAAGATTGAACACAATATTCCAAATGTGGCTAACTTGTTTGCAAATTTTTCCACATTTGATCAATATATCCAACAAATTCAGTTGCCAAACTCGGAGCAGTTAAGTTTTGTCTCATCTGTTCAAAATCGTTTGTTTTAAATTTGAAACCAATATCTCATTCCTTATCTCCATATGCAGTAATACATCAAATCTAATTGAACAGTGATAAGTTGCACCCAGATCTTCGTCCATAACCTTAATCCTATCATCCATTTCGTTATTAGAAATTAATAGTAAATCTAAAAATAGCAATGTTCCTTAGCCAATTGTTGAAGAAAACCTTCCTGGATAGTTTCTAAAAACCTGTCTTCCCTCATGATTTGACTATAACATTTCCCAACTAAAACTGTTCTCCCTTTATAACCACTAATAGAAACCTGGACTGTAACTCACATTTTACATATAAGGCTACTCTTCTTTCTTTCTTTAGTATTCTATTCCTATTAAACCAACCTATAAGAAAGAAATTTATCAAAATTATCTATACTTAGTCAGGTTTCAGTTATTCTCATTATATCAAAACTTTATATTCCAACAAGTGTTCTAAAGTCATCCATTTAATTTTGTATACTACTAGAATTACAATAATAACAGTTTAACTTATCACTAAAACTACCTTTATATCTTGTTCCAGCATGATACCCTTCTCTACATCTTATTTTTTTTTCTTTATTATTCTGTCCCTCTCCGCTGTCTAGTCCTAGCTTAGTTTAAAGTTGCCCTTACAGTTAATAGCCCTTGTAAACAAGCCAGTCCTTAACTTATTTAAATGTTAATCATCCATTCCAAAAAGCCCCCTTTTACCATTGAACTGATCCTACAAATCTAACCAGCCAACCTGCTCTTTCTTATACATTAACCTGAGCATAACATTCAGTCTTAGTGACCTACTTATAATTCTATCCTCAGTTAAATCTTTGGAGTATCCCTGATGGTTATTATGGCCCTAATTCTTTTCTCTCTATTTACCCCACAGACTATCCTATTTATATGCCATACTAAAGAATCTCCTATAACAATAACCTTGTTATGTTTATCATTCCTATCCCTATCTGTCCCTTTTGTTATCATTCCCTCTTAAAGTTCATCAACTGCACAAGCTAAAGGCTGAAATTTGTTGCTTGAGAGAACTTGCTCATTATAATCATATCCACAAGTATTAGTACTGTTATCATTATTGGCCACTGCATCTTTTTACATGCAACAGCTTAATTTCCCACAGTTTACCCTTCTCTTTATCTGTAATCTCTACCCTGTTTAAAACAGCCTCCATTTGTTTTCCTCCATCCCACAAAGAATACATATGAATTGAACAACTTCACTAATAGCTTCCTTAAATGTGCATGTCAACCCTGAATTCCCAAATATTGAAATAGCCCAATCCTAGCACCTATCACACATAAAATTGTGAGAACTTAACAATTACACTACTATTATAGCATGGGAGTAATCAAAACTGAATACAAGTAGCCTGTTGAAAATGCTGTTAAGCCTAATATTAGAATAAAATATTTTACTATCTCCACTTTATCTTCTCTCTAAAGTAATTAAGTTTACCTTTAAAATGATAAGTAACTAGCCTTTTAGAATATATTTTGTAATACAATTTATTAAGCCTGTTTTGTAACCTAACAATAACTGATTAAGCTTGAATTATAGCTAAAGTCAAGTTACACTTGCTAAGTCGAAGTGTAGATAATGTACCACCCAAACCCCCTATTAACCAAAACGTGTACGTTAATTACCAACATCGGTACCACAGTTATAACGTGTGCCATGTTTCTAGTTACACGCAACTAAATGCTAAGTTCAACAGTTTTGTCTAATGTATTAAGTTCTCATCAGGTATCAAATAGTAAGAGTAATTTAAGTTAAGCAAGTCATTATTTTTACTTGGCTAAAACTAGTAAAAATTCTTTATTTGAATCTAATATTTAATAACTGTGTTATCCTCTAACCCAGTGCTAGTTAGTAGTAGTAGTTACCTAAAAACTAAAGGGGAAAAAATGCCTAATTGTGGTACTAAGCCTAATGTCCTAATTTTATGCTTAGTGTGCTTGTACTAATAAAACCTAAGTGTGCAATCCCAATTAAACTAACTAAAATACACTAAATAATTCAAGATTTTAATAGTGCACAAAATCATGTGTACTTAATTCTAGATTAACATCTCTTCATTTCTCGTTTTCTAAATAATTATATTATGTATTCCAATTTTGTACAAAAATTCCATTTTGACAGCTGATTTTTTTTTAAATATGTATTGTCACATTAATTTATTTACTTTGGATTAAGACAAGATATTTTGTATGTTTTTTGTGTGTGTGTGTTGAATATCGATTTTTGTACTTCCATTAGGTTCACTTAAAATGAGTGATACGTGGGATGATGTGGACAGTGGTCCAACTCAAGATCTGCACACATTTTCTGTGGTAAGTACAAGTAGTTAAAGTTATGAAAGTTACTAACTTTTTCTTACTTCTGAAACTAATGTTTATATATATTAAAAAGCTTTTAATTTAAAATATTGAACATTTTAATTAGTGTATAAAACAATGAGATCACTGAGACCAAAGGAAAAACAAAAATAGTGGGCAAGATTACAAGAAGTGTGATGTGGGTAGAGAAGGGGCTGCTGTGGCTCAGTTGAAAGGAGATATCTAAATTGCATGATACATTTAGGTTTTTTGATACCAAGACTACACTCGAACTTGCATTAATGAGTGAATCTGTGAATTGAAGCATGATTATTTTGTATATGATAAGCTGATATAACATGAATCGGGATAAAGTGTACCATGTTTTGTTTCTTTGTTTAGCTTTCCCCCAGAATACATGTATTAATTATTGAGTGTTTTCTTCCAGAATACATCTGTAAATAAGCCTGCTGAGCAAAGTTACAAGTCCTTAGGAGGAGTAGGGTAAGTAGAGCTGGCTGTGTACTAAGATGTCTTTTAGAAGTTTTTTTTTTTTTTTAATTATCTACAAGTAAGTTTTATCAACTTTAATATAGAACAACAAAAATCTTTCTCTCTTTAAATAAAAGATTAGTGATAATAACTGGAGGAAGAGCACTTCAGTGTCCTTGGAGAACTACTATGATTGTGCTGAGAATGTTCAGTCAAAACAAGCCTGCATGACAAACGTTGTTTATTTGGCCAGTGCTATTGACACTGATCGCAAGACTACAGACAAGAAGTTGTAACTGCCTAGTGGGAAAAATTAGTATAAGATCTAATGCCAAATTCTGAAATATAAAAAGGTCCAAAATTATGTCATGATATGGTATGCCCTAAAGTGGGATTATATGTGATGTATCACATTGGAAAAAGGCTACAGATCAATGGATATTTCTGGAAAAGATCAAGCTTGGTGGGAGTTCATCTTCTTAAAGGTTATACATGACTTAGTGGTCATTTTGATAGGCTGTACATTGGAAGTTTTTTTGTTGTTGTTGAGAAGAACTTCATAGGTGGTGAATACAGCTGATTGGTTGTCCTTCCTTTGTCTGGTCAACAGTTTTAAGCTAAGCTACATCTGAATTCTAGGGTTTTCAGACTTGGCTCTCTAATCCATGTGCTGCCTAAATCAACAACTGAAGAATTGACCCACTTACTGCAAGTTCCCTAAGGCTTCAGTTTAGGATTATTGAAGTAAACAAGTGGCTCAGATGGGTTTCTTGAAGAGGTTTGGTATCAGTCCTAGTGATGATGTTAATGAACAACTGCCAAAAATTCCTCTACCTCAATGTCATAAATGACAGAAATGGCAACTTAGTAAAGTTAAGAACTGTAAGAGGTGTAATTAGGTTCAAAAGTTTCATATTCTATGAAGTAAGCAATGTTCTTCAACAATGTAATTAGTGTGGAGTGTTTGTTTAAAACTTAGTTAATGAACATGGGCTGGTAGTTTTTAGCAGATAGTGTTAAAGTATTTTTGAATAATTGTCTTGCAAAGTTTAGTATACAACATTAATAGAAGAAATTTTATAATAAATGATTGAACAAAAAGCAAATATGTTCGTGACAGATGTAGCAAGTCAAAAGATTGCCTTAAAGCCTCTTTGTATATTGTTTGCAATCAATGACTTGATTAGGCACTACCAAAAGTGTTGGAATTATGCACTGATATTGTAAAATTTATGTAAACAATATTTGATAAGTGTTCAAAATACAAATAAAAAAATTAATGTAAAATTTGTTTCATTATGTATTCATAATTGATTAGATTTAATTATTTCAGTACCGTGTACAGTTAATTTTTAGTTGTGACATAGAGGCTTATAGAACACCTCTTAGTTTTTATTTTTTATTTTCATTTACAAACTTTTGCCTCATAGCTCTGTCATCTCTTGACCAATTTGATATCTAATTACAGTTTTGTACCCAGGAGGTCAAACCCTTTCGATTGATGTATTTGACCATGGCTAAGGTCTCAGAGATTAATTTACTCTAATTCTTCCTAAAAGAATTTCAATTTGAGGATATGCTGGTGGAGATCTTTGACTAATAAAATTTAATTGGGTAAACGAGTGCCCCATGCTTGGTATTGCTGGTATGCAAAAATATTTTACTAATAAAAAGGAAACAAAGGTCAAATAGATTAATTTAAACTAATCCTGCCTAAAAGAATTTCAAGTGCCACAGCTATTGATGATTTCTACTTGTTTATTTTGTGTTTTTATGTTCAGTATTAAAATGTGTTATTGTCAGTATTTAGTAATAACCTTTAGATAATTTATTGTTGTGGATGTATAAAGTTTCTGACAATAGGTCTAATCTGGTAAGTTATAATTTGAATAAAATTAACTCAGTTTGTTATATCTTTCAAATAGCCATTGTTTAAAAATTAAACTTGTATAACATTTTCAACCCTATTGTTTAGATGTACATATAAATTTCAAGTTATTTAGATCCAAAAATTTTGTTGCTTACTTTTTCATTTTGAAATATTGTCTGTCTTCTAGAGCTTTTGAAATTTTACAGCTTGAACATCATGGTTTTAGGTTTTTGGTTTAATTTTCAATGTTTTGTAATTTTCTAAAGATGATTTGTTGTTGTTGATCTACAAAAACCTCTAAACTATATTACACATTTATTTCACACACCAACAAACCTTTTTCAGTGCACAGTCAAAATTGTAATCTGATGCTTGTTTAGCTATGAAATGCATGTTTGTTTTGATATTTTAGTCAGTATTGTGGCATATGAGCAGTGTAGTATTAAATCTTTGAATAACATTTGGATGTTAAACTTGGAAAGTTACTTTATGTACATTTTTTTTAAAGGTTTTCTGTCAAAAGAACTTGTGTTCAACATTACTATAGCACTGTAAATAGTTTGACATTTTAGTACGGGAAAAAAAGTAAA